CAGCGATTCTAATCTGTAACAGGGTATATAAAATCGCGTTCGCTCTGGGACAGGGTATATGAAATTACGCTCTCACCTCTCTGGAACAGGATATCCATTTTCGCAATACCGGAACAGGGTATAAATTTCAGCGATTTTACTCTGGAACAGGGTCAGGTTTCAGTGGGCTCAGCGGCACATCCCTACCCTAAACGATCAAGAGTACCCCCACCCCCCATGTGACAAAATTCCTATTTGGGAGAGTTGTAAGGTTAAAAACAAAGACTCGTGCTAAGAAAACGATGTAGTGTATTTCCATTTCGTTTTTTCACTTCGTAGTTTTCATTATGGGGGACATTGTCTTCATCTCGAAGAAAGAGAAAAATTGAAGATTTTTTCTTCGATTTTATTTTCGCCTTTCAGTTTTATCTAAATTGGGCTCCCTGTGCCTATTGGGAGCTCTGCTTTTAGGCAGTGCCTGAATTTATGTATTACGTAGATATAATTTTGAGAATATTCACCTTGGATAACTAGAGTTTTTATTTATTCATTGAAAAAAAAAAAACCTTCTGTATAGTTGATGTGTGTTGCTATGATTACGTTATACGTGACCAACCTCTTTTTAAAACAATAATCCTTAACTCATGAACTAATATAATAATATATATTCGGCCGATATAAGGTATCGAAGTGTTAGGTTGCAATATATACTACTTAAAATCATTGTTTGCAATTACTTTAAAACCCTATGAAATCCCTTTAAAATTGGCATGACTAGCTCTTCTTATAACCTAACTTGAAATAAAGGTAGCACACATTCGAAACTTGAAATTACGGAAAAACATACTAACTTTTGCCAGCCTCCTCTTCACCATATTCAGATTTAAATGTGACAGACTGAAAAAAGTTCTTTTCGAGTCTTAGAAATTGTCATCGCAACCAAAAGAATCAACACAGACATTTGTTGGACTTCTTACTTTGAGCGCCGATCTTTCACTCAATGGGAATTAAATCTATATCGTTTTCAAAGCGACACTTGTTACCATAGATACTATAAATAATTCCATTCTTTCCCACGTTTGTTAAACTGGTTTTTGTGTAAATGTATGTTTAAACGAAGTTGGTCTCGTTTTTGAGGCCGGAGCTAATTTTTATTGGTTAATTACTTAAACCATGGACTGTAGGAGAATATTTGGTTTGTGACGGGGGAATTGCTTGTTAGTAGACCAAATGAATCATTAATTGGATCTGTCTATCCATGTTTTATTGAATGCTACGTTAGTTTTCAATGAATAAACATGAGTTATAAAAAATCTAGATGATGAATTGACTTTGAATGCGTTTCCTTACTTTTACAATACTCCTTTTCTTAACTTTATTACTTCGTTGGCACATTCAGAATTCCTTTTATAAGAACAAACACAAGGTCTCAATCCCATTACTGATAAGTGCGACTAGTCGAGTTGTTTTCATTACCAAGGCAGAATGAATTCGATGCTTTGCTAATAGCTGTTATTACATTTGAGCCCGCAAAAAGAAATTCTTTAGTTTAAGAACCATACAAGTGAGGCTATCGGGTCGATAAAATGATTCTTGTCTCGTTTGCACCATTTACATGTATCCATAATAACTGCTATTATAACACGTATTCACCAAAAATAACTTAAAGTCTGTACGTTTGTGTTTTGCCCGGCTTATTTTTTTATTATATTTTTAAAAATCTCCTCCTGTGTGGGATAAGTATATTTACAGCGCTTCTCAATCACCATCGTGACGAAGTAGGTTTTTTGTGGACGTCAATCAATGCGTTTCCATAACATTACATAGGCACGTGCCCTTAAAAGCTTTTTGTTTTCCGAAAATGCTGGGAAACACTTTGATTTGCGTCCWCCAAAACTCTATTATATCTAGAACTTTTTTCTCCGATTTCGCGAGTGTGATGAGAAGCGCTGTAAAATTGATCTGAAATATTTTAATCTAATCTAAAATCCAAAGAATTATATGCAATAAATAATTAGAATGATCAGTAAACATATATATAAAAAAACTTTAAAACGACAACATCCCCCGCAAATTCTACTACAAAAGATTACTTTTAATTAATTTCTACTGCCTCAAAGTGCCATAGCCACTATGCTATCGCCTTGTAAGGGTGTCCGTCAATATGTCCAACCAATCAGCAGTAAGCCGTGGACAATGTATAATTTTCGCAACCAATCMACTCTCCAATAATAAAGTGTCGCTACTTGAAGATACGCTGACAAGACAGCAACAACAATGCTTGTTGATTTTACAATAGATATATCAGCCTCTTCGGAACTTAAATCTCRCCTTTTTAAGTTAGCCTAAATAATTTTAGTCAGTTCGTAATTTCTTATAGTATTTAGTTTATCTTTTCTCCTTAGAACAGACCTGAATAAGCGCTTCACAAATGTTTGTTATTATTATCATCATCATCATCATCATCATCATCATTATTGTTGTTGTTGTTGTTGTTATTGTTGTTATTATGCCAAGTTTTATTTGTCTGTATATATCATGTTTACATTGACCAGCGGACTAAGTCTAGGCTGGTTAAGTTCATCATTTTTTTTCAATCCTTTCTTCAGCTTATGCATATTTATAGAACTTCTTGACTATATTAACGTTCTGGCTTAAAATCCATTTCTGACATCGTTCTATAAGAAAG